TACCGGTCCAGGCGCTTGTGCTGCGGGAGGGCGAAGCCCGGGTCAGTGGTACCTTCTGGAACGTGAGTCAGGCTGAGCCTCTGCGTCTCTGCCCAGTTCGCCTGGGCGTGAGACCTGCAGGTGCCGCCCTCGCTCTCAGGGAATAGAAGCCTCGGAGGGCAGGGGCGGCGGGGGGGCGTCCCTGACTTGGCGGGCGGGGGTCGCGACCTCGGTTTCCCTGGCCTTCCACACTTCTACACGCTCTGCCGCCTTCTAGCGACACGTTCCTAGACTTGCTTAATTTCCCCGTTTCTCCTTCGTAAAGTGGAATTAAGGGTAGTTCCTCCGTAGGAGGCGTGTAGTGAGGTTTACGTGAAGCGTGAAGATGCTTGGAAGCCCTCCTGGCACGGGAACAGGGTCCGGTTGTTACCAATCGGCGTTTTCTTTCCGAGAAGCTCTCAGCCCCTGAAAACTTCTGTGAGCCCGGGGTTGGGTTCAGAGCTGCAGCTGCAGCGTCGCTGGCGCTTCTCTGAGTCCCCGCGGGAAGCAGGGCTGTTTGGGATTCCTCCTGACTCCCCATGACCACACCCCTCTTTTTTAAAGGAAGGATTGGTCTCACCCCAGCTGGTGCCTGGGCTTGTCCACCGTGATTTATTCTGGACCAGGGGGAAAAAATTGTGATATCTCCCAGCCTCTTTTCCCTTCTCCGCCCCCGAGTTCCCAGAGGGTGCAGAGAGGAGGAGGGAGTGACCCCCTGCCTCCTGCTGGTAACAGTGTCCCACCGTGAGAGAATTTAACATGATGGGCCATTTCTTTCTTTTTTATATGATCTTATTTATTTGAGAGAGAGCATGAGCCGGGGGAGGGGCAAAGTGAGAGGGAGAAGACTCCCCACTGAGCAGGGAGCCCGTGGCGGGCGGGGCGGGGGGCTCCATTCCTGGACCCTGAGATCGTGATCTGAGCGGAGGGCAGATGCTTAGAAGGCAGGTGCTTAACCGACTGATCCACCCACGCTCCCTGCTGTGCCATTTCTGCTCTCAAGTGGGGAACCGACTTCCTTCACTCCTAAGCAGATATTTTTCTACTGGGCACATGTTCAAATGTTTATAGAATAAATGGGAGTTAGATGAGACCTGTGTTGAAGAATGAGTAATAACAGTTTGGTGACATGTTGAGTGCCACATAGCTTTATATGCATCGATTAACTTAATCTTCCTAACACACAAATCTTCTGTGATTATTTGTATTTTACAGATGACAGCGTTGATAGGTGAAGAACTTAAGTTACTTATTTTCCCAAAGTCCAACAACAGGGAAGAGACAGAACTGGGAATTTGAGCGCAGGCTGTCTGGGTTCTTGACCTTTATGCCATACACTTTTTCAGCCCTAAAATGGTAATTATGGGGCATCCCAGTTGGGTGGGGGCTGGCAGCCCAGGGGTGAAAGAATTCATCCAAGGCGGAACAGAGGAGATAGAAGTTTATCGAATACACTGCAAGAGAGGAGCAGGCAGGACAGCAAAAGAGAGACTCTTTGCCCCTGGGCAGTGGTGAGGGGCCACAGTTTTAGGGCTGAATGAGAAAGTATGGAGATGTATGGAATTTTCCCTTTTCTGGTAATCTTAGGCACTGTGCCTGGTTGTAAGTAGCCCACTGGTTAGTTAGGGACTATGGCCATTTTGAGGTGGGTCACTTAATGAGTCTGTTTGCACTAGCTTGGTGGTCATTGTGGGCCCTTGTGCCTTGCTCAAGGTTTCATTGCTCAAGCCTGTTGCCAAAACACAGCCTCTACAGTAATCCCTATGTCTAGAGGGAGGCCATTTGGTAATAATTTGGGACCTTAAAGGACCTGAAAGCTATGCTCATTTAATTACTTTCTTATTTTCTATGACACTCTGTTTTCTGATTATGGCGGTAGTTTGTGCTTATCATAGAGAAGTAGAGAAATAGATGAAGAAGGCCAAAAATGATCCATAATCCCAGGATGTAGAGACAGCTGTAAACGTGTTAACGTATTTCTTTTTAGTTATTTCTATGTATATGCATTTTTCTATGCTTCTCAGGAGTTGTATCATACTTGTAGTATTTTTATATTTGGTAACTTGTGATTGTGAACATTTTCAAACACAGATACAGACAAAATACTATAATGAATTCTCACATCCATCAACCTTGGTCAACCTTCAACTGTTAGTCTAAGTTTTGTCCATCTTGCCATATAATCCTCCCTCCCTTTTTTTGCTTGAATATTTTAATGCAAAAAAAAAAAAATCCAGACATTGAGGCAAGAGGATTTATACTAGATTATCATAAATATATGGACGTCGAGGGAGAGAGGACATAAACAATTCCAAAGTTTTTATGTGGTGATTAGGAAAATGGTGGTTAGTGAGAGAGCTAGGAGCCCTGTAAGACTTGCAGTTAAAGAGGGGCGCCTGGGTGGCTCAGTTGGTTAATCATCCAACTCTTGATTTCGGCTCAGGTCATGATCTCAGGGTCGGGAGATTAAGCCCTGTGTCAGGCTCTGAGCTCGGTGTGGAGTCGGCTTGGGATTCCCTCTCTCCCTCTCCCCCATCCCTCTCATGTGTGTTCTCTTTCTCTGTCTCTCAAATAAATAAATAAAATCTTAAAAAAAAAAGTTGCAATTAAAGAAAAGAACATGACAAATTTAAGAGTCTCATGCTCTACCGACTGAGCTAGCCGGGCAAGAACATGACAAATTTAGTTTGTGCCTTTGGAATTTAATTTGCTCTTGGTTTCCTGAAGACAAATTAAGGGACAAAACAGTAAAAATGATCCATATAGATATTTTTGTCCTTTATCTCACTCTGTGGCTATATACAGAAGCCACAGCTTTTTCGGAGTATTCAAAAATTGATAGACATTTACTGATAATACTTCCATGTCCTAAAACAAACTTTCTTAGAAACAGACCAGGACTAACGCATCATCTCTGGATTTATCACCACGTCATAATAATGAAGGTGGTGAAAAGAATAACTAGCATTTATTGGGAGCTTATTATGAGTCAGGCAGTTTCCAGTGCTTTTTATATATTAACTCATTTATTCCTCAAAAGAACCTTGTTATTATCCCCACGTTACAGATGAGATACAAGAAGATAAGTGGTCTCCAGAAGATCACTCAGCCAGTAACTACGGCACTGAACTAAAACCATCAGGTCTTTTTTTTTTTTTTTTTAAGATTTTATTTATTTATTTGACAGAGAGAGACACAGCGAGAGAGGGGGAACACAAGCAGGGGGAGTGGGAGAGGGAGAAGCAGGCTTCCCGCAGAGCAGGGAGCCCGATGCGGGGCTCGATCCCAGGACCCTGGGATCATGACCTGAGCCGAAGGCAGACGCTTAACGACTGAGCCACCCAGGCGCCCCTAAAACCATCAGGTCTTAACATAGCACCTCCCCATCGCCCCTTCCCCCCCACCCCCCGCCATGTTTTTCTTAACAGTATCAATCACCAGCTGACACATGATGCACATACCTGTTGGTTGGTGAATTATCTGTCTTCCCACCTATGATATCAGCTTCACGAGAGCAGGGACTTTGTTCACTGCTGTGTCTTTAATATATGGAATTGTGCCTGGCACGTAGCAGATGCTCAATAAGTATTCGTTGAATGTATGAATGAATGTGCTTGGTGAGTAGTAATGAGGCTCTCAGCTAATATAATACAGGATGTGTCTTTATGAACTGTTCATTCGGTCATTTATATGTATGTGTGTGTGTGTGTACATATAATTATAAATATATATCTTTATAATATTTATATATTATATTTATATAAATAATACTATATAATTATAATACATACATGTATATATATATATATATTTTTAAATCTCTATTAAGTGCCTGCTACATGTCATGAACTCTTCTGGGCACTGGAGAAAGAGCAGTGACCAAAATAATGCAGCTTACCTTCTGAAAAGGTGGATAGATATAAGCAAGATAAAGAAAACATCCATTAGTATGTTAGAGAGTGCTGAGACCAAGTATAAAAGGGGAGTGAATGGGACCAAAAGGGAAGTGGTGGGGTGGGGGGGTTTCAGTTACATAAATATGTCCGTGGAATAACATTTGACTAAGGAACTGATGGTGCTGTATAAACAAACAAATAAATAAGTAACTTTAAAAATTAAATAAATACCGGGCGCCTGGGTGGCTCAGTTGGTTAAGCGACTGCCTTTGGCTCAGGTCATGATCCTGGAGTCCCGGGATCGAGTCCCGCATCGGGCTTCCTGCTCGGCGGGGAGTCTGCTTCTCCCTCTGACCTTCCTCCCTCTCATGCTCTCTGTCTTTCATTCTCTCTCTCTCAAATAAATAAATAAAATCTTAAAATAAATAAATTAATAAATAAATAAATACCTAAATAGGGTTTGCTTTACCCAGAGCCCAGGATTGACCCTTTTATGATTATTTTACCATTAAGGATGACTGTGATGTTGCTTGAACAAAGCAAATAAAATAGGAAACCCAGAGGAAGAAATTGGAAGATAGAGTTCATCCTGTCCTTCTCCCAATTAGGAACAGCCTCAGAATTTTACAGCTCAGAGGAACCTCAGAGATTGAAGAGTCCAGTCCTTGCCCGATGGAGTGTTTTTTCAGTCATTTTTTGATTCCTTGTGTTTTCAGTCCTCAGTATATTCTGGGTACTGGGGAGAGAAAGGTGTGTTAATCATCTCATAGGCAAAACAGATGCTTAACCACTACTTATCCCCGTGGTTGCCCCCTGGTGATGGAAGGCTTCTCGGAGTCCAGAAGTGGAGAGCCGAGCCAGGGACCCCAGACCTCACTTCCTTTCTCTCACTAAACACTGTGAAATGTCAGGTCTCCTTGCAAAACCCTGTCACTGAGCAGAGCAGTAGGGGGAGGCAGAAAGAGGGCCAGCACAACGGAATTGGTGTTATGAATTGAGATTTTGTCCAGGTTTTGAGAAGTGGATCCATTGCTCTCATCTCTACTCGAGTACTTCTTTTTTTTTTTTTTTTTAAGATTTTATTTATTTATTTGAGAGAGAGAGAGAACACAAGTGGAAGGGAGGGGTAGAGGGAGAGGAGGAAGCGGGCCTCCTGCTGAGGAAGGAGCCCGATGCGGGGCTCGATCCCAGGACCCTGAGATCATGACCTGAGCTGAAGGCAGAAGCTTAACTGACTGAGCCACACAGGCACCCCTCTACTCGAGTACTTCTGTCTGAAGTAGGAAGAGCCACGAACATGAGTGGATGCCACATATTGGACGCTTATTTGTGTGTGTTGTGTTCATGGAAACCTCCTAACAACTCTAGATGCTAGATACTGTTATGATCCTATCTTAGAGATGTAGAAAGAGGCACAAAGAGCTAGGAAGTCAGAAGAGTCGATGGTAGAATCCTGACTAACTGGCTCCAGTATCTCCCAGCAGATCGCTTTGAGCAGACCTGTGCCCTCGGGCTCCCCTTTCTCTCATCCCAAGGGACAACCTTCCTACGTCCTCTTCATGTTTGTGGTTAGAAACACGGAGACCATATAAAAACACGAGCTCTGGAGTCAAAGTTGGATTCAGGTCCATTGTCATCTCTCATAAGCTCTGGGACCTTGAGTAACTTAATCTTGTGAATCCCCCTCTTCCTCATCCATTACATGGGAGCAATAATCATCATATCATCACTTATTGAGAGTTTATATAATGTGCCAGGCACTGAGCCAGGGCTTTTTTCTTTTTTTGCTGTTTTTTGAACTTTAGGTGTATTTCACATATCATACCATTTACCCTTTTAACGTATATTCACAAGGTTGTATGACCACGACCACTGTCTAATTCCAGAACATTTTCATCACCCCAAAAGAAAACCCCCCACCTCTTAGCTATCACCCCTCACTCCCTGCTCTCTGAGCCCATTGCAACCACTAATTCACTTTCTGTCTCTGGATTTGCTTAGGCAGCTTTGCTAGACTTGCTCACGTAATCCCCAGAGCAACACTGTTCATTTAAATAAGAGACTGTCAAGTTTTTGTTTCAGATGAAAACATCTACAAGTCCTAATTTTAATTAGTTTTTCCTTACTACAGTGAGCATAGGAGAGGAGCAGTTACCACTGAGACTCTTCTAGCTGCGTGAGGAAAACTCAAGTATTCAAACCTCCTACAAAACCAGATACTGATGTCAATTAAACATCATTTCAAGACAACAGATTATTAAGTAATATAGCCAATCAGAATTATGGGCTTTCAGAGATAAAGGTGAATTTCTTTTTTTTTTTTATTTTAAAGATTTTATTTATTTATTTGACAGAGAGAGAGATAGCGAGAGAGGGGACACAGGCAGGGGGAGTGGGGGAGGGAGAAGCAGGCTTCCCGCTGAGCAGGGAGCCTGACGCGGGGCTCGATCCCAGGACCCCGGGATCATGACCTGAGCCGAAGGTAGATGCTTAACCGACTGAGCCACGCAGGCGCCCCCTACTTGAGTATTTTAAAAGATTTTATTTATTTGAGAGAGAGCAGGAGAAGGAGCAGAGGGAGAGAGAGAATCTCCAGCAGAGCCTGACTCGGGACTTGATCCCAGGACCCTGGGATCACGACCTGAGCCATAGGCAAACGCTTAACGACTGAGCCACCCAGGCGCCCCAAAGGTGAATTTCTTAAGACTAAGAATTGTAAGGGGCGTCTGGCTGGCTCAGTCGGTGCAGTGTGTGACTCCTGATCTCAGGGTTATGAGTTTAAGCCCCACACTGGGGGTAGAGTTTACTTAAATAATAGATGGATAAATAGATAGAAGGAAAGAATTGAACAGGCTCTGAAATCTGGATGTCTTATAAAAGACTCCTTTACTGGAAATGATGGCAGAAGACATTTGCAAAGACAAATTTATGATTATAAATTTATATGTTTATATACATATATATATAATCATAATTTTGTTACATCACCTACTTTTTCTGCAGCTGCAGGGGAATCAGCTATAAGAGTTTCTCCCTCTACTCACATGTTGATCCTCACAACAGTCCCATGAGGGAAGCACTATTATGCACTTTTGTAGGTGACAGATTTGAGGCACAGATTTGTTTACACTTCCCACAGAGCAGCCATCTGGGCAGGGCCTACGTCTCATGGCTTTTTTCTTTGTCAGTTCTGCCTTCCCAGGACTCTGCCCTCTCCCAGAAGCAGCAGGAGAAAATGACCAAGTTTCAGGTGAGTTGAGTTTTGATTTTTGTCAAAATTGCATGCCTTTTTCTCAAAGATTAGACACCTCTTTTTTCTCTTCTATGGGAAGGATAAAGGAGGAAAACAGGTATTTGTTATATGCCAGTTCTTTTTTTATTGGTTCTCTTTTTTTGTTTCTATCCTTAGCTTTTGTTTTGGTTTTGGCTTTGGTTTTATTTTAGCATCATCTTCATTTCACAAATAATAGCTCAGGAATTTATAGATTTCAGAAAATTAAAAAAAAAACAACCCACATTACTACACTGCGTATGTCAGCTGTTTTCCCCATGCTATCTTTATAAAGTTATAATTGCAGTATATGTACAGTTTCCAATTTTGTATTTTCACTTACTGTTACTATTTGAGTTTTTTTATGATTCAGCATTCTTTTATGTGCTCATCTTAAAAGGGTTTCTAGGAGCGCCTGGGGGGCTCAGTCGGTTAAGCGTCTGCTTTTGGTTCAGGTCATGATCGCAGGGTCCTGGGATTGAGCCCTACGTTGGGCTCCTTGCTCAGCGGGGAGCCTGCTTCTCCCTCTGCCTCTGCCGCTACTCCACCCCACCTCTGCTTGTGCACATACTCTCTCTTTGTTTCAAATAAATAAAAATAAAATCATTTTTGAGTTACAGTTTACATATGATTTACATATAATAAAGCATTTGATCAATTTTGATGAATATGCACACCCACATGACCACCTCCACAATCTAGATGTAAACCATTTCTGTCACCACGAAAAGTTCTGGTTCCCTCATGTCCCTTCCCAATTAATCCCAGTCCCACACACCTGTCTGTAGGCAATGACCAATTTACTTTATGTCACTACAGATTAGATTAATCTTAAATTACTTGAGTTTCGTATGTTGGTCTTCAACCCTCTCGGGAGCCTCCCAGCTGTAATCTGAAATGGGCCCTGTACGCGGGAGGCAGGGAGAGATGGAAGAAAGGGGCAGGCCACTCCAGGTTGGTAGGTGGCAATTTTACTAAGCAAAGGGAACTTACCTGTGAGGCTTGTCTTGGGCGGCAACAAGATAAATGGATCCCCTCAGCTGCCCTCCAAATCTTAGAAGTTTATAAAGAGGCCCTAACTGTCCTCAGTATACCCTGCAGGTGTTTTCAACATCACATCATTATCTCAAATCTGTATCTTTGGAGGAGTCTGTGGGAGCAGGACAGACAAGCAGAACCTACATCCCAAGGACAGGAGGGGGTGAGGAGCCTCTGAGTGCCAGGGTCCAGCTCACGGGTCCAGCTCACAGGTCATTTGGCAATCATGTCTTTTTGATGATGTCCCCCCACATCATGTAAATGAAGTTATACAGTGTGTACTCATTTTGTGTCTGGCTCCATTTGTTCATCACAATGTTTTTGGACCCAAACCAATAGTCCTTTTTATTGCTGCATAGTATTTCATAGTGTGGGTTTTCCACGATTTGGTTATCCATTCACTCATTGATGGACATTTGGGTTGCTCCTTGTTTTTGGCTATTGAAAATAAACTATAAGCATTTGTGTGCTAGATTTTTGGATGAACACAGGCTTTCTCTCTCTCTCTCTCTCTAAGTAGGAGGAGAATATAATCTTTGGGTCATATGCTTAACTTTTTAAGGAATTGTCAAATCATTTTCCATTGTGATTGCATATTTTATATTCTTTCCCCAAGGTGTTAGAGTTCCAGTTGGCTCCACACTTTTTCTAACATTTGATATTTTCAGTCTTAAATTTTAGTTATCCTAATGACAGTTATGTTGTGATATATCATTGTGGCTTTCATTTGTATTTTCCTGATGCCTGAGATGTTGAATGTCTTTTTTCTGCTTTTTGGTCATCTGCATCCTTCTTTTTGAAAGGTTTGTTCAATGCTTTTGCTTATTTTTAAATTTAAGTTGTTTATTTGTATTGAATTTTAGTAGTTCTTTTAATATTCTGAATACAAGTCCTTTTGACCCATGAGCATTTAGATCTTCTTTCATTTGTATCTTCTTTCATTTATCTGGGTCTTATTTCTTTCCCTCAGTCATGTTTTATAGGTTTCAACATGTGGGTTTCTTACATGTATCTTGTTAAATTTATCCCTAAATGATTTATGTTTTGGGGGTGCTATTCTGAATGCTGTTGTTTTTGAAATTCAATTTCTATTTGTTTGTTGCTAGAATATAGAAATGTAACTGATTTTTGTATCTTGACTTTTCTAAATTTGCATATTAAATCTAGAAACGTTTTTCTAACCTTTCAAGATTTTCTACACAGACATCAGTAAATAAAGAGTTGTATTTTTTCCATTCCTGTCCCCATCATGTAGACTGCTTTTTCTTTTCTTATTGCACTGGCTAAAACTGTTAGAACAATTTCGCTATATATAGCCTTTCCTTGTTCTTAATCTTAGGGAGAAAGCATTCAGTCTTCCACCATCTGGTGGGCTTTTTGTAGATGTCCATCATTGAGGTTGAGGAAGTTCCCTTCTAGTCCTACTTTACTCAGAGTTTTTATTATGAATGAGCATCAACTTTGTAAGTGCATTTTCTTTTAACAGTCAGATAGTCATATATTCCTTTGGTTCAATTAGATTCTTTGGAACCTTGTTTTTTAAGCTTGATTAGGGTGGGGGTGGAGTAACCTTTATTCCAGAGCAGTGGCTCTCAGGAGCAGCTTTGCCCCACCATGGGACATTTGGCAGTGTGTGGACATTTTGGATTGTCAGGACTAGACAGTGGGTACCATTGACAACTACTGGGCAGAGGCCAGGGATGCTGTTAAACATCCTACAATGCACAGGATGGCGTCCAGCAATGAAGAATTACCTGGTGCAAAATGTCAACTGTTGAGAAACTCTGTTCTAGAGATAGTTTAGCCCTTCTACTAAAGTGTGGCCCTTTTGTTGCTGCCAAATGTCCCTAATGATCAGTGAGGGCTTTCCATTTTCGTTGTTTGGAATTCAGACACCTCTAAGTCCTACTAAGCTCTGGGAACCATTCAGCCCATCGCTCCTCAGATACTTTTTGCCTGGCCTGTGGAGTTTCCTCCTGTATTTGCACAGTTTGGTTTTTAGCACTAGACTCAAAGGGATTCCTGGGCAGATTTCCAGCACTTTTCTTATGCATAATTCCCATTCTGGAACTCTGCTCCACATTTTCCACCTATCCAGTCTCCCCATTCTGATTTTTCTGTCTCTTCAGTCCAGCAAGGCTCTGTTTGGGTTCCCCCTTCCAGCACTTGCAGTTCAAAAGTTATCGATAGGCAAATATTTAGGGTGATCATAGGGCTCACCCCATTTGTTTCCTTCATTTCAGAGATCAAAGTATTCTGCTTTCAGTGTCTGAAAGCAGTTTGTTTCATATTTTTTTCTATTTTACTACTTATGATAGAAGGGCATGTTTGGTACCAGTTATTCTGTTAAAGCCAGAAACAGAGGTTTCTGTCACGTGCATTTTTGATGACTGCATCATATTTCAATGAATTGCTGTTCCTTAAAAAAAAAAATTCCCGGTGTGCCTGGGTGGCTCAGTTGGTTGGGCGTTTGATCCCAGGGTCCTGGGATCGAGCCCCACATCAGGCTCCCTGCTCAGCGGGAGTCTGCTTCTCCCTCTCCCTCTGTGCACTCTCATGCTCTCTCTCTGGTAAATAAATAAAATCTTTAAAAAATTTTAAAAATTCCCTAATACTAGACATTTAGGTAGTTTAAGATTTTTTTTTTTAAGATTTATTTATTTGAGCGAGAGAGAGCCTGGGACAGGGAGGAGTAGAGGGAGAGGGAGAGAATCTCAAGCAGAATCCCTGCTGAGCATGGAGCCCGACAAAGGGCTCAATCTCACAATCCTGAGGTCATGACCTAAGCTAAAATCAAGAGTCAGATGCTTAACCAACCGAGCCACCCAGATTTTTAAAAAATGTTTTAGAGAACACTGCTATAACAGTTTTCCTGCATAAAAGCTCTGTTCTCAACAAGCAGTTCTGGAGACTGCCACTTCTGGAAAGATGGAGGAGATGTTATTCTTCCCACTAAGTAAAGGGCCAGAAGTCTTAGCCCAGAAGTAGTGAACTTCTCACCGCACCAGGTGTCAACAGAGTCCAAGTGGAGAATCTGGGCTTACATCCCCCAGCTGGCAGTAACAAAGCTCTGCTTCCCTTCCCCTTTGAGAGATGTGTCAGAGGAGGCCTAGTGAAACAGAAGATTTAAATGAAATCCTGAGTCTGATTACAGAATACTCAAAATGTTCAAGTTTCAGTGGAAAATCATTTGGTATACAAGAACCAGTGAAATCTCAACTGGTATGAAAGACAATCAACAGACAAAGTAAGATGATGCTCACTGATGTTAGTTCTAAGTTATAAGTGATATAAAATGTTAGTTGTCTGACTAGGACTTTTTTTATTGTGGTAAAATATACATAACATATATTAAGTGTACCACTCAATGACATTAAGTACATTCACAGTGTTCTGCAGCCATTACCACCTCACAACTCCAGAAGGTTTTCATCTTCAAACTGAAACTCTCTACCCATTGAACAGTAACTCCTATTACCACCCCTCATCCCATTCTCTGGAAACCACCATTTTACTTTCTGTCTCTAGGTATTTGACTATTCTAGATACCTCATATTCACAATCCTTTTTGTGACTGGCTTATTATTCACTTAGCATAATGTCTTCTAGATTCATCCACTGGACAAAGATTTTAAAGCAGCTATCATAGAAATATTTTAGTAAGCAATTATAGACATGCTGGGGGGGAAAAAAAAAACCCAAAATCTTAGCAAAGAAATAGAAGATATAAAGTAGAACCAAATGGAGATTTGAGAACTGAAAAATACAGTAAAAGAAATTTAAAAATTCAGTGGATGGGCTCAATAGCAGAATGAAGGGACAGAGGAAGGAACTCGAAAATAGAATAATAGAAATTATTTAATATGAATAAAAGAGAGAAAATAGACTGAAAAAAAAGAACAGTCTCAGGGGCCCAGGGGACTATAACAAAATATATAACATTCATGTCATTGGGGTCCCAGGAGGAGAGGAGGAAGAGGGTAGGACTGAAGGAGTATTTGAAGAAATATGGTTGAAAATTTCCCAAATTTGACAAAAGACCTAAAACTACAGATTCAAGAAACTGAGTGAACCCCAAACAGGGTAAACTGCAAGAAATACACCAACACATCTACTGTCTTTTTTAACTTTAAAAACCCAATTTTGGGAGAAAATAAGTATTGTTTTGGTTTTGCTTTTCATAAAAATAATTTAACTTCTTGTTTAAACTAGATGTTTCTTTAAGCTTTGATAATGAGGAAGATAAACACACAAAGTATTCTGGGGTCTTCCGCCCTTCTCGGTACTCTGTTGTCATTAATAATAGTAGTAGCAATAATAAATGCAATAATAATAGCTAAAAAGAAAAAAAGAAGTACACCAACACATGTTCTAGTTAAACTTCTGAAAACTAACAAAAAAGAAAAAAAATTGTGAAGGCAGTCAGAGAGACATGATACCTTAGCTATAAGGGAAAAAACACTCAAAGACAGTGGATTTCTCATCAGAAACCATGGTGGCCAGAAGAAAATGGCACACTATTTTTAAAGTGCCAAATGAAAAGAACTGTCAACTCAGAAGTCTGTATCCAGTAAGGATATCCCTTGAGAATGAAGGGAAAATCAAGACATTCTCAAATTAAGGAAACTAATGTATTTGTTGCCAGTTATACTGGAAATATAAAAATTAAAAACAAATATGACCCAGGGCACCTGGGTGGCTCAGTCAGTTAAGTATCTGACTCTTGATTTTGGCTCAGGTCATGATCTCAGGGTTGTGATATCGAGCCCTGTATCAGGCTCTGCACTCAGCATGGAGTCTGTTTGAGATTCTCTCTCTCCCTCTCCCTCTGCCCCTCCCCCATCTCTCTCTCTAAAATAATAAATAAATAAATCTTTTAAAAAATATGGCTTGGGGTGCCTGGGTGGCTCAGTCAGTCGAGCATCTGCCTTCAGCTCAGGTCATGATCCCAGGGTCCTGGGATCGAGTGCTGCATCGGGCTCCTTGCTTGGCGGGGAGCCTGCTCCTGCTTCTCCCTCTCCCCGCCTCTCCCCCTGGTTGTGCTCTTCTCTCTGACAAATAAATAAAAATAAAATCTTTAAAAAAAATAAAATTAAATAAAAAAATAATAACTATGACCCAGCTATATGCATTCTATAAGGAACTCACCTCAGGGGGCTCCCTTCTCCTTGCTAGATGGGATGCTACCTTATTCATGAATCACTTTATAAAACTAGATGTTCAAATTAAAAAAAAAAAAGCCTCACTTTAAATATAATGGTATCAGCAGGTTGAAAAGGAAAAGGATGGAAAAAGATACACCACGCAACATTAATCAAAAGAAAGCAGGGGTGACTAAATCAACGTGCGAGTGTAGTAATACAGTTACCATATCACTTATAATTATATTAGTAAAACTTAGTTTCCATTGAGGACCTACCCTGTGGCAAGTGTATATGTTCTAAGCAGTGTACAGCGGAACTTCTTTGATGATGGAGGTAGTCTATATTTTACTGTCCAGTATGCTCCAGCACCTGAAATGTGGCCAGTGCAACCGAGGGAGTGAATTTTTAATTTTATGTAATTTAAAATTTACACTTACATAGTCCCATGTGAGTCACATGGCTACTGAATTGGACAGTACAGTTATAAAAATATCATGTACATTCATTTACATAACTAGGAATCTTGCAAGATGAATGCCATTACACAGATGAGGAAAATGATTAAGGATTTGTCTGTTGAAGATCTTAGAGCTTGTGAGGGCCAGAGCTTGGGGATTTTAACAGGTATTATAGCATGAAAAACTGAACACTTTGACACTTTGAATGCTGTCATGCAGAGTTGGCATGTGCCTTCAGAGTGCAGAGGGTCCTTTGCATAGCTCCCCGGGAAGGGTGACCTGTTGGTTTGTCAGATTGTAGCAAAGTGACAGTCCCTTGACTTAGTGGTTGTGTGAATCAGAAAGGAAAGACAAAAATTATTTGACTCTTTGGGGACTAAACTGACCTAACATCTCTGGGACGATTTGGTCGTATCAATCAAATTATAAAATGTATATACCCCACGATTCCAGAGTTACTGTTCTAGGGCACTGACTATAGGAATACTCACAAATGACACCATGTTAAATGTACAGGAATTATTTGTCATTGGTTGTTTTCTTTTTCTTTTTTTTTTTGAATATTTTTTTTTTTAAAGATTTTATTTATTTATTTGAGACAGAGAGAATGAGAGACAGAGAGCATGAGAGGGAGGAGGGTCAGAGGGAGAAGCAGACTCCCCGCCTAGCAGGGAGCCCGATGCGGGACTCGATCCCGGGACTCCAGGATCATGACCTGAGCCGAAGGCAGTCGCTTAACCAACTGAGCCACCCAGGCGCCCCTGTTTTCTTTTTTTTAATTATGTTCAGTTAGCCAACATATAGTACATCATTAGTTTTTGATGTAATGTTCGACGATTCATTAGTTGCATGTAACACCCAGTGCTCATCACAACACGTGCCCTCCTTAATGCCCATCACCCGGTTGCCCCATCCCCCACCCCCTCCCTTCTGCAACCCTCAGTTTTCAAATTTCAATTAAATTTTAAAATTTAACTTTAATTGGAAATTTTTAATTTTAAATTAGTTTTTAATTTTTTTACTGTATTGTTGATGTGACTGTGGCTAAATCTGTGGAAATGACACATGGGATGGAGAAGAGGAGGAAACTACTTAGGTAGATCCAAGGCCCTCAGAATCCAGAACAGCTTCTCACCTATCCTCTCCACCTTCTTAGGGCTGCCTTGTCCCTACTGGCCATTGGTTATGAGATTGCGGTTGCCTGTGCTTATTGTAGGAGATGGTGACATTCAAGGACGTGGCTGTGGTCTTCACCAGAGAGGAGCTGAGGCTGCTGGATTCTACTCAGAGGAAGCTGTACCGGGACGTGATGCTGGAGAATTTCAGGAACCTACTCTCTGTGGGTGAGCACAGGGGCCCTCTCTGACTCAACGTCAGCCCCCTGGAATGTCTTGGTTTCAAATGTGTAAGACTTGGGGACTCTTACAATGCTTCCCCAAACTTGGGGGAGGGGTCTCAGTTTCCTCATTCCTGTAGGACACCCTGTCTGTACCTTGTCTGTTTTTTGTCAGATTCCAGTCGGACATCTTGTGAGGTTTAAAATCAGTTGGTGAGTTACATCATTATTGTGTTGAATGAGATAGGTCAGAAATAGTGTAGCTCCTTGTCGGGAACTGCATACTGTGCAACAGAGATTGTGAGCAAAAGCGGGAAAGGAAATGTGACAGAAGTAGGTAATGGTTAGGATGAGGTCAACACATCTATGTGCTTGTGTACTGGATCACAACATAAAAGGTCTTTATTACAGCAGGCCACGGTCAGAATTTGGGAAAATACTACTTAAAGAGCGTAAAGATTGTAATTCTGGAATTACAATCTTTGCCTTCAATTTATTCACGTTGCACACATGCCATTTCTTTTTCATAGGATATGAACCCTTCAGATTAGATACGACATTACCGTTGGGGAGAGAAGAGAAGCTTTGGATGATGGAGACACAAACCCCAGGGGATGGGCGTTCAGGTGAGAGGCGTGCAGCTCTGAGTGCTCACCACCTCCCTGATGGCCAGCCTGCCCGAGCCCCTACCATTCATCACCCTGCTTCATCGCAGCAGCTTTCCCACTGCCTCCCTACTCCTATGGGGCGGTCTGTTCTGCACACACATGAGGTCAGCCCATGTCATTCCATTTGTTCAGCCTTCCATGACCCCTGTCTTGGTACGACCCGCAGTCCTCATGGCGGCCATTTGAACAGTAGTGAGAAGGACTCCTCTGGGCTTGTCCTAACCTATGGTCTCTGCTTCGCCCTTGGTGAGCGCTGCCTCCTCCCTTTACAGAGTTACGTCCTCCCTGCTCTGGCCTTGCCTCTCTCCTCCCTTCCTTCCCTTCATTGTCCCCTTTTCTTTGCTCCCTCCTTCCTTCATTTATCTTTAATTTGCGTATCCCTCAGGTAAACCCAGCCTAAAATAACCATAATCATAGTCATTCCTACTGGAGATAAGCACCAAAAGCCAAAACCAAATCAAACAAACAAAAAACCAGAAAAACCTATCTGCTAATCTGATGTGAGTAGTGAGGGGAAGGCCTTCCTGGTCCTTCGATTATTTCTTTTCGTGTATCCTTCTGCTGCATGAAGGTTTAATGCAGTCAGTCAGGCATGTTGGATGCTGGTTCCATCTGACTCACTCCCTTGTTTTTATGTATAAACCTAACCTTGGGAGGTAGGATCCCAATTATTACAATTGTCTCTTTGCTTCTTAATAGGTAGCTTCCCAGTTGCTTTGCTTCCATGTACAAATCTGTACTTTTATTTTTTAATTTTGGGCTGATTTTTTATTGAAATATATCTTAGATACAGAAAACTGCACACATTATAAGCATACAGCCCCATGAATTTTCAGGGTGTAAAATGACTTATTTGTCTTACAGTTCTTTTTACTGAGGTACAATTTAAATTTACGTATCTTAAGAATGCAATTTGATGAGTTTTGACAAATGGATACTACTCTGTAACCCATATTACTCAGAATGCTGAGCAAATCTTACAGCATATTCTATCCCCATGTCCCTTACTAAAAGTTCTTGTGGCAAACATCAGAATACCCCGGATTTTGCATTTTGTCTATCCATCTAGGTGCCCTACTCCATCTATGAAGAATATTCTTGAGGTCTGTTTTCACTGCACAGAAGCACAAACTAAAGGGTTTCTTCTCCCTTAATGATCTTTACAAACAGAAGCTCACAGAGAATGGTGCTAAGTGAATCCTACTGTCTTCGCTCCTCCTGGAGACAGTTCACGTGAGCAGAATAAGCTAGCATGATTAAAGGATTATTTCAGAACATTGTTAATGTCTACCCTAATTAGAAGTTCTATGGCACTTGTATTAACTATCTATTGCTATATAACAAATTACTCTTAAACTTATTGGCTTAAAACCACAAAACATTTATTTACAGTTAATGTGAGCCCAGGAATCTTGGGGCAAGTTTCTGGGTGGTTCAGGCTCAGGATCTCATGAAGTTGCTGTCAAGGAGCACCGCCAGAGCTGCAGTCCTCTGAGGGCTTGATGGGGCCGAAGGGTCTGCTTCCAAGATGGGCTCATTCACACTGTTGGCAAAATACCTCAGTTCCTTGCTGGCTATTTGGGGGTCTCAGTTCCTTGCCAAGTGGGCCTCTCCCTGGGGCTGCCTGAGTGTCCTTAGAACATGGCACCTGGTTTCCCCAAGAGCTGTGGAGAGTGGAAGGCAGAAGCCACCATGTCTTCTATGATCTAACCTTGGAAATGACATAGCATCACTTCTGCCATATTCTGTTGGTTTCATAGACTGATCCTGGTACATTGTGGGAGGGGATCTCTATAGGGGCATGGATACCAGGAGGGGGACCGCTGGAGACCATCTTGTGTGCTGACCACCGCAGCACCTTTTGTACAGATATGAATCCACAAAACCTAAAAGATGAAATTAACCGTCCAGGTTTACCAGAAAATACAGGCCAAATTAAGTGGCCACAATGGTCATAGGGTTTTTACTCCCATAGGATGTGTCCACCATGGGATTGCATTTTCTAGGTTTTTTTCTAGTTACAATGTTCATCAGTTGACTATTATATATTAGGACTTCATTGAAATAAGGGGGAATCCTCTCAAATCTAGCTTGTTTAATGTGTGTTTTCTGGCTAGATTAAGAATATAAAGGTACCATCTCATGGATTCATTATCAAGACAGGAAATACTTCCTTTTGCAAATACATTCTTTTCACTTTTCAAGAATGTCCTTTCTTTTTTTTTTCCTGTGGAAACTCTTGGCATCACATGATAATCCACCTGTAAACACTAAAAGACAGATTCAGCCTTTTCTAGCCATTTTTGGCTTGTCTTATACAAATATGCAGGTAGTGTAATGTAACCATGATTTTAAGGCTTACAAATACATAGGATTTTGTAGCTTTTATACCCCTGCTGCAGAAAAGGCAAGAATTATTTAAGTGATTATTTTTATGAACAAGGAAGTAAAGTTTCTCCTCTGTATAATCTTTCTGGGACATCTTTTTGTTGCTCTGTAGCCTTGTATTTCTAATTTGACCTCAGTAAACATTAGTCTTGGTATAGTTGGAAATGAGTCTCGTTGGCCCTTAGTGGGCAGGAGTCTACTCATTACCTCTTCATTTCCATAGGCATGAAAAAAACAGTGGTAAGGTCAAGCTGAAGTCTTCACTGGTTGAAAAGGTCTCGTAGTGTGATTGACCTGTGAAATATTTCTGTCTCTGAACAAACTTTCACTTGTCCACATTTTCAACTCTGAATCCTCTTTATCCTTCCAGGCCTCAGGAATCAAAACGAGATAGAGACTTTTCAAAAAGTAGGATTAAGATACCTTTTACATGAAGATGTTATATGCTGGCAGATATGGGAACAATTCACAAGTAAATTAGCCAGAAATCAAGACTCAATGATAAATATGCAAAGCAAGAAGTCCAAGTTGCCAAAACTAGGTGATTCCTCCTGTCAGATATGGGCAAGAGAATCTCCTCAGGTTTCTGAAGATGAAAACTATGTAATAAAGCTTCAAGGGGAGAGTTCCAATAATATCAGAAGTCAAGAGCTTCCAATTAAGACCACTGGGGATTTCTGGAAGAAAATCTATCTGAGAGAGTCACACAACTATCAGAGTAGGTGTCAGCAAGTTGACGTAAAAAATAAACCGTGTAAGTGTGACCATTGTGTTATGACAAGGATCTCACATCATTGTGATGATCAGGAAGTACACAAAAGCAAGAAGGCTTATAGCCACAATAACTGTGGAAAAGACTTCATGAGGAAATCATGCCAGCATAGTATAACCCACTCAAGAGAGAAGCACCACGTATACAGTGAGCATGGGGAGGACATCGGTGAGAGCTCAGTGTTTTGCATTTGCCAGAGTATTCATGCAGGGGAGAAATGTGGTAGGAATGGTAAGTGTGATGGGGTCTTCAGTCAGGGCTCAGACCTGCAAAATCATCAGGGAGTCAACAAAGGAGAAAAGCCCTACAAATGTCAGGTATGTGCTAAGAGCTTCAGTCAGAACTCCTGTCTTCCCACCCATGAGCCCCTCCACCTAGGAGGGGATCTGTATAGGTGTGGCATGTATGGGAAGAGCTCCAGTCATAGCCTAGATCTCAACGTTCACTGTATAGACGACACTGGAGAGAAATCCTCTAAATGTGAGATGTGTGATAAAGGCTTCAATCACACATCACAACTTCAAGCCCATCAGAGAGCCCACCCTAGAGATAAAACCTACAAATGGGAGGCATGTGACAGGCTAGTTAATCAGAATCCTGGTCCTCATCAGAGAGTTCACATTGGAGAGAAACCATATAAATGTGAGGTATGTGGGAAGGACTTCAGTAAGGCCTCAAATCTTCAAGCCCATCAGAGAATCCACACTGGAGAGAAGCCATATAAATGTGATGTGTGTGATAAGAACTTCAGCCGGAATTCCCATCTTCAGGCCCATCAGCGAGTCCACACAGGAGAAAAACCATACAAGTGTGACACATGTGGTAAGTACTTCACTCAGATTTCACATCTTCAGGTCCATCAGAGAGTCCACACAGGAGAGAAGCCATACACGTGTGAGACATGTGGTAAGGGCTTTTGTCAGAGTTCACATCTTCAAGACCACCAGAGAGTCCACACTGGAGAGAAACCCTACAAGTGTGATATGTGTGGGAAGGGTTTCAGTTGGAGCTCCCATCTTCAAGCCCATCAGAGAGTCCATACTGGGGAGAAACCCTACAAATGTGAAGAATGTGGGAAAGCCTTCATCTGGAACTCATATCTTCATGTTCATCAGAGGATCCACACAGGAGAGAAACCCTATAAATGTGGCATGTGTGGTAAGAGCTTCAATCAGACCTCACATCTTCAAGCCCATTGGAGAGTCCATACGGGAGATAAACCCTACAAATGTTTTCACTGTGGTAAGGGCTTTAGTAAAAGTTCACGTCTGCAAGTTCATCAGAGAGTCCATAGTGGTGATAAATCCAATACACACGATGAGTGTGATAAAAGTGTTTTTCAGAATGTAGACTTCTCATTTTCATCAGAAAATCCACGCAGCAGAGACTATTCATAAAATACTGTGTTTTAATAATTCAGGAGTGAGCTGAATTTTTTTATAGTCCTCTGAATTCCGCTGGAGGAAACTTATTTGTTGTGTGAGTGTAGCCAGTGTTTCCAGCAGAGCTCAAAATTTCACAGTCCTCAAGACACAGAAGCTGTGAGAATGGTGCAGTAAGTTTCAGTCAGAACCTTCACTTTCAATCTAATCAACACAGGAGAGAGGGCTTAAAAAGGATAAGTAAGGTCAGGACATTAGCAAAAGTTTACTGATGGACATGACAAATCCATGTCCACTAGAAGAGAAGCTCCATGGGGGCAGGAAGTTTGCTTACTGCTGAATGACCATGACCTCAAACCAGTGCTTAACAAACAGTATAAATGTCTAACTTGGTGGAGAAGAAAACCTACTATAAATAAGACAAATACTTAAAAATTGACCCAGTTAGTCATAATCAGTTGTACCAAGAAAAGGATTCTTTATTACTATTATTATTATTAATTTATTTGAGAGAGCATGAGCAGCAGGGGGAGGGACAGAGGGAGAAGCAGACTCCCGGATAAACAGGGAGCCCAACACAGAGCCCGATCCCAGGACCCCAGGATCATGACCTGAGCTGAAGGCAGATGCTTAACATACTAAGTCACCCAGGCGCCCAGGAAAAGGATTCTTGTTAGAAGTTTTAAAACAACTGAAGGAAGTGACAACTTCATAAAAATACATAAAATCATGCGACTTGCAATTTGAGCATAAGATTTTTTTTTCAGTTGACTCCTGTCTGCACATCTTTACTTTTCCAGCCGTAATAAGCTTGGCTTTTCATCTTACCATTTAAGACTTTCCCTGTACATCATCAGTTTGTATAGCATACACCTCACTATCTCTTTTGGGTCTTTTGTGACAGGAACAGACAGAATGAAAAAAAGAGGAACTTGTTTTTAATTCCATAAAAGATCATGAGAAAGGGGTGTGGAAAAGGGGAACACATTTTAGCATGCATTTTGGACATTGAACTAAGCTATTAAGGCACAGAGCATTTTGGATAGCACCCCACACTTCCTAGCTGCTTCAGTAGCTTTCAAGTTTGCTTGGTTGAACAGTTTGGTGTATATTTATTGGAGAGAGAGAGAGAGAAGTTTCCCACAATTTTTTTTTTTTTTCTGGACCTTACCTTCCAGGACACTGGATATTCAAGTTCCATGTTACCAACAGAAATCCAGTGCCCGTAACACTGTGCTTTGTTGGGACGCCTGGGTGGCCTAGTCGGTTCAGCAGCTCAGGTCATGATCCCAGAGTCCTGGGATCGAGTCTCACTTCAGACTCCCTGCTCCATGGGGAGCCTGCTTCTCCCTCTGCCTGCTGCTCTCCCTGCTTGTGCTCACTCTCTCTATGTCTCTCTGACAAATAAATAAATAAAATCTTTAAAAAACAAAAGCCAAAACAAAACAAACCCTGTGCTTTGTCATTACCAGATCCTCGCGTGGGCTACTGGATCTCCTGGCTCTTTATAGCAGAATGTTTTTAGTTGTAAGAAATAGAAAACTCAGCTCAAACTAGCTGAGACAAAAGGAGAATTTATTGGTGTGCATAATTAAGAAGAATATGGGTAGGACAGGACACAGGCCCAGTTGAAATGGCTCTGGATCAATTCTTTTGTGATTTCCTCACCTCTGCCCTTCTGGTTGAGTTGGTTCTCACATTCGTTTTTTTCCAACCCACTCTTAGGAAATTTATTTAAAGAACTGACACTCCATTAACTCTTCTAGCACACACCCCCCTTTTCTATATACTTCTAAAGCAGTTGTCCTCTGAACTTCTTGTCCCTGTTAGTCAACCTAGAGGTTTGGCATTTTCCTAAATATACCATATCTAAATGCAAATATTTATAGGGTTACTGTGAGTTACCATTTGCCATTTTTATCATGCATCTGTGTTCTGGAGAAACTTTTTCTTTTCTCCTGTGTAAAACTAGATTTTTTTTTTCTAAAAAATAATGCCTGAAATTTTTAGATAAAATAATTCAGAAAAGGCACTAATGTAAGGGTGCTGACACACATAAACAATACTGGACATTTTTAGGGTATCTGTGCCTATGGATACAGATCTATTCAGTTTTACAAAACTAGGATAATATACATACTATGTTGTAACTTGATTTTCTTCACTCAATATGTTGGAAGCATTTTCTATCAATATTGGTCTATAACATTTTAATTGTGTGGTATTCCAGTAATGCAGACATATCACATTTTAACCAGTTTCCTACTGACGAACGTTCAGTTTGTATCTTTAGAGCAGTTCAATGAAAATCTAGAACAGTGACATCCATCTTCATGTTCTTGTGAAGAAATTTCTAGAACCAGTGTTGTATCCAAGAATAATCACTTTTAGATTTTGGTGTATACTGGGGCAGTTTTCCAAAAGTACACAAGACTGTTTCCCTAGGATATACAATCTTGATGAGATAAAAAATGGCCTCCTGGTATTTGTCTTGCTTACCAGAAGAAAAGAAATCCTCTGTGGATAAAGATACCAGACAGCCTCCACATATATTGATAAGCAGTGTCTGGCATTAAAACCTAAATTCTTTTCAGGAAAAATAAAGGTTAAATGACCCCAAAACAAAAAGATGATCAAAACTAACCCATAGTGATCCAAAAATTGGAGTTATCAAACATGGATTTTAAAATAACTTTTATTATGGTCATGAAAATATGGAGAATTTCACCAGAGAACTGCAATCTATCAAAAAAAAAAAATCAAGCAGTCCTGGATTTGATAAATACAGCAACTCGTTAAGAATTTAGAAGATGGCCTTAAAAGCAAATTAGATGTGGCTAATGCTGTTTATTCTCTAGCCTGAAAGCTCAGTGGACTGAGGAACTCCAAGGCAGACATCATGTTTTATTGTGTAATGACTGTGCAGTGAATGTTTATAGAAACAATGAGGCTTCAGAGGATAGGACCTTTGCTGCAGAGAATGAGTTTTGGGAGCCCTTTGAGCAACAGGTCCCAGGCAGACATGAACAAGTCTTGCTTTTGAAGATCAAACCAGACAACTCTGCCAATAAAAATCCTTCCTCAGATTTCTTTCCACATCAGTAATTCTGGAACTTCCTGTCCTTGGTAATCAGGGCTAGGTAGTGTGGCTGCACTTGGGAGACTTAGAAAAGAAAAAGAATGTGGAGGATTTGATTCAGAAGCACAAGAAGGGAGGTGAGAATGACAAGGGTCTCAGGTCGGGGCAGTCTTTGTAGGTAAGAAGAAAGGTGAAGATATCTTCAAGGAAAAGGGTGTATGTTTCAGGTAGGTCGGAGCCAGTTGTCATAGCTGATTAAATGTTACACTTCCTACCAAGTTATTCCCAGACTGAGTAGTCAGGAGGGTCAGGCAGACCTGGTTTTATGGATTCTTTTCTGTCATTTGCCTTCTCTTGCTCCAAAAGAAGACATTCAGAGAATTCCAGGGAAGTGAGATGTCTTTTCTTCATTATATACCTTGCCTAGTCTCAGAGATGGATAAGTCTGTCCAATGAAGAAAGCTTAACATCCATGGGGGGTTGGTGGGGCGGGGACTACTGCAGGGACACCATTCTTGTGTATTGGAGCCTCAGTGAAGCAAGTGATGGTAAATCCTTATTGTAACATAAGAAAATAGGCTTGAGAAGGTTAAAACCATTGCCCGCATTCACTCAAGTAGCAGGATTTCCACAGGTTGTCAAAATTCAAGATTTTAATTCTTAATTATGAAAAATCTCAAAAAGAGAAAATATAATGGTTCCCCACATACTCATCTCTCAAATTCAAGTTACCAGGATTTTACCACATTTGCTTAATCTTTCCCCTTTTACTTTTGACTTAAATGCTGAGATAATTTAAAACAAATCCCTGATATATTAGTTCACACCTATCTATTTCAATAGGCATCTCTTTAATATTAGCTATATTTTATAAAACCACAAAGCCATTATCAAACCTAACAAAATAATCAAATTCTGTGATTGCTTCAAATGTTTCATTTTAGTCTAGTTTTTTTTTTTCTTAATTTTTGTTTTATCTTATCCTCCATATTTTTTTTTCTAATTTTGGTATTGGGATTATATTGGCCTCTTCTATTTTCAGGAAGAGATTGTGAAGAATTAGTTCTGATTATTCTTTAAATATTCGGTAGAATTCTCCAGTGAAACCATCTGGGCTTGGGTATTGTGCCTAAGAATACAAATGTGAACTCAGACTGCTGAGGTTTAGATACCGGTGTGACCATCTAACAGTTGTGTGACCTTATACAGGTAAATGAGCCTCTCTGCCTCTATTTCTTCATTGTTAAATGAGGCTAATATTTGGAATGTTATGAATGAAAGACTTAACACATGTCAAGCAGTGGAAACTATAGCCAGCTCACAATAACAACTCATGGATCTTTGTCTCACTAGTCTAATAAATGGTACACACACAAAACCTTGCAAACAATTCTTTTTTAAAAATATATTTATATATTTATTTATTTATTAAAGATTTTGTTTATTTATTTGACAAAGAGAGCATGCGCACAAGAGGCAGAGGGAGAAGGAGGCAGAGAGAGAGAGGCAGAAGCAGGTTCCCTGCTGAGCAGGGAGCCCGATGTGGGACTCGATCCCAGGACCCCGGGATCAGGACCCGAGCCGAAGGCAGACGCTCAACCAACTGAGCCACCCAGGCGCCCCCATTTCTAATATATTTAAAATATTTCCTGGTCAGTGTTTTTGAGAAATTTAATCTGTGTTTACTGCATAGCATTTGGGACATTTGGATTTGAGTCCTATTGCCTCACTGATGATGTATGACTTTGGAAGGTTTCCTAACCATTTATCATTAGGCGTTTTCTTTTTTTTTTTAATTTTTTTAAATCTTATATTATCCCCATACATTACATCATTAGTTTTAGATGTAGTGTTCCATGATTCATTGTTTGTGCATAACACCCAGTGCTCCATGCAGAACGTGCCCTCCTCAATACCCATCACCAGGCTAACCCATCCTCCCACCCCCCTCCCCTATAGAACCCTCAGTTTGTTTTTCAGAGTCCATCGTCTCTCATGGTTCGTCTATCCCTCCGATTTCCCCCCCTTCATTCTTCCCCTCCTGCAACCTTCTTCTTCTTCTTTTTTTTTTCTTAACATATATTGCATTATTTGTTTCAGAGGTACAGATCTGAGATTCAACAGTCTTGCACAATTCACAGCGCGTAACAGAGCACATACCATCCCCAGTGTCTATCACCCAGTCACCCCATGCCTCCCACCCACCCCCCACTCCAGCAACCCTCAGTTTGTTTCCTGCGATTAAGAATTCCTCGTATCAGTGAGGTCATATGATACATGTCTTTCTCTGTTTGACTTATTTCGCTCAACATAATACCCTCCAGTTCTATCCACGTCGTTGCAAATGGCAAGATCTCATTCCTTTTGATGGCTGCATAATATTCCATTGTATATATATACCACCTCTTCTTTATCCATTCATCTGTCGATGGACATCTTGGCTCTTTCCACAGTTTGGCTATTGTGGACATTGCTGCTATAAACATCGGGGTGCATGTACCCTTTCGGATCCCTACTTTTGTATCTTCGGGGTAAATACCCAGTAGTGCAATTGCTGGATCATATGGTAGCTCTATTTTCAACTTTTTGAGGAATCTCCATACTGTTTTCCAGAGTGGCTGCACCAGCTTGCATTCCCACCAACAGTGTAGGAGGGTTCCCCT